AATAGAAAGAATAATAAATGACAATTTTCATCTAGCTGTAACAAAAAAACGTAAAGCACAATTTTTTGTATAAAAATTAATTTGAATTGTTCAAAAACATTTAAAAAATTAAAAAATAATTTTATTAGCACTTGTTTTTATTCGTTCCTAGTTTTAATTTTTAAGATGAAAAGTAAAAACTTTTATTTTTTACTTGTTGCTTACTTTCCTATGCAAAATATGTACATTTAATAAAGTTTTTTTGTACACTGATTATTTTAGTTTCACTGGAAAATGAAAAGGTAAATCAGAAATTAAATAATAAAAAACACAAAAGTAACAAAGCAAAAAAATATTTTTTTCAGAGCTAATCCAAATGTAAACTTAAGAAATGACAGATGTATTCAACTACTGCCGTGAGTTTCTTGACTAACTGTTTTTCATTAAAGATGGTGCCAATTGATAACACCCAAACAGCAAGTGATCCTCTCTTAATGAACACTCTTCAGATGTACTGGTTTTTGAAGATAATGAGCTTACAATGTGATATTATTTCAAACAAAAAATTTTCTTAGTTAAATCATGACAAAATAAGTTGAATATTTTTTAACAAGCTCCTACTTGTAACTTTTTTGAAACAAAAATTAAAAAACAGTTACACAAAAATTGAANTCCTCTCTTAATGAACACTCTTCAGATGTACTGGTTTTTGAAGATAATGAGCTTATAATGTGATATTATTTCAAACAAAAAATTTTCTTAGTTAAATCATGACAAAATAAGTTGAATATTTTTTAACAAGCTCCTATTTGTAACTTTTTTGAAACAAAAATTAAAAAACAGTTACACAAAAATTGAATTTACTAATACAGATTACAACATCCAACAGATGATTTTCTCTTGACAACACTTCGTTTATCTAGGTTTATGGCACTGCCGCTCTCAGGAGCCCTTTTGACAACATTGTGATCATAGCGGTTCTTCATTTCTTTGGCCATCAAAAAGAACATCTGCTCAACATTGGTAGAAGCTTTGGCTGATGTCTCCAGGTATGGGATTTCTATATACAGAAACAAAACAAAGCTTTTACCTGTAACACTTTTGTTCTTACTTTATCACTTACCAAAGCTGTTTGCGACCGAAGTCGCTTCCTCTGAAGTGATTCGTCTGCTGGAACAGTCGACCTTGTTGCCGACCATCAGCTGACTGACCGGCCCATAGACGTGCTTCTCAATTTCCGCTATCCACTTTGGTATGTTCTTCAAAGTCTCAGGCCTTGTGAGATCAAAGACGAGGACAATGCCGTGCGCACCTCGATAGTAGCTGCTGGTGATGGTGCGAAATCTTTCCTCGCCGGCAGTATCCCAAATTTGCAGTTTCACGCGAAGTCCATCCAGTTCAAATGTTTTTATCCGGAAGTCAAGACCAATGGTGACCATGTGCTTATCGGTGAAGCTGTCTTCGGCAAAACGCAACAGCAGACTGGACTTGCCCACTTCACTGTCGCCAATGAGAAGCAATTTGAAGATGTAGTCACTGTGTAATGGCCACAAGTGCAAAAAAGGACATAAATCAAAGATTTCAAACAACCAAGGAATGACCACTTACTAATCAAAAACCATTGTTTACCAATGTTGAGCACCGAGTGGACACTTTCCCTAGACAATTGGCAAGACTGTGCTGTGTTTGTGAGAAGCAATCACAACACTGGTCGACTTATTACCAGTGCCTGTAAAGATCTGCCTCTAATCAGTGAGAAATCAACGGCGGCAATAAATGGAGGAGAGCGAGATTACTTGCTACGTAGTGCAACAGAGAGCACAGCCAGAGCGTGCGAGCTGCAGAAAAAAGAAAACATTATCATTCCTGTCTCTTCCAAACATATCAACATAAACTCCGTTCTTCAAAACAGGATGATGAGTTGTTGAGTAAGGCGGTAATCATCATGATTAACAGTTAATACCTCAGGGATATATAAAAAATAAAAAATTTAATAAGTCTTCATTTCGATCATCTTTGCAACAACTTTACACATTCTTATAAAATTAGCAAACACAAGCATTCATTAAATAATTAAGAAATGTCTAGAAAGTCCGAAACAAAAAAATAAAAGAAAAAATCGGACAAAAAATTTAGAATTAAAAGTAACGTAGATTGAGATGAGTTAAGGAGCATAAAAAGTTGTCATTGACTTTGTCAGGTATCAGGAGATCCTGAAAAAATTGAATGTGAATTGCCTTGAATTGCTTCAAAACTGCTTCAGTTGGCGGCAGTTACTGTTACTGTTATTTAAAGAAACACTGTTAGTATTTACAAACAAATTTAAAACAAAAAACAAGGCACATACCATTGCTGCAGTTAGCTCCATTAGCCTGTCCATCGAGAGTAGAAAACTTTTCATCATGGTCGATTCCTTTAGCCGTACCTAGACCGTTGATGCCGCGTTCTACAACTTTAAGACCGTAAATAAAACCAGAGTAGCGCATCTCTTCGATGTTATCTTCAAAGTAGATTTCACGCAGTTTAAAAAACGTTTCGCCTGTGAGCAGGCTGTCACTTCCTGCCTGATGTTGCGGTCCTTTTCGCTCAAGAGAAAGCTGTTCCGCGACCTAGAGTAGTTAACAACAAAAGTTATTAAAAAAACTGTTGAAAGAACGCTTTTATACTAAATTAACTTACCTCCTGAAGACCTCCTTTCAGGTCTTTGGTGCTTTTCATCAGGTACTTTAAATCGTAGACGCGTGGAAACCAAATTTTTAGCGTTTCGAAAAACTCGTTAACCTTTTTAGGCAAGTTAGCCCCGGTTAAAAGTCGAAGAAGGTAGCCAAAGTCATAGCCAGAATGAAAAGAAAGCCAGTAGATGTTATCACAGAGCACAACGCCAGATCCGATTAGAAGAACGGCAAAGTCAGTGGTGTCAATGCCCTCTTCCTCGTGCTTCTTAAACTGTATTCCCGAATTGGTAAGCAGATCAATCGACTCTTGGCTGTACATGTCCTCATTAAGATTGAACTTAAAGTTGAACTGCCAGGTGGAGTAGCCGGAGGGTGTCTTTCCGGTAGAGTCCATGAACGTGAGGCCTAGCTGGATGATCTTCAGCAAGTCAATGTTGACACGCATAATCTGGTATAAGTAGTCAGTGTTGGAGAGGAACTGGCCGATCGGTCGCGCCACGACGCCCGGAAACTCGGTGTCCATGGCGATGTAGGGATAGTGCTGGACAATAGTGCGGATGATCTTGAATTCCTCCTCCAGGTTAGACGCCCAAACTTCGCGTATGCCACATTCATCGTTGGTGAGCACTGTACTCGAGCTGCCACCGTGCCCACTAGGACCATTGCTCAGATGGCCATTGGTTGGTGTCGGGTACGGTGGTGCCGAGGGCATTCTTGCAGGACGAATGGTGAAGGGGAGTTGTCGTGATTTCTGGCAATGAAAGACCATCAGAATCGGCGGTAAATATGTCTACTGAAGTACAACTTTGTTTATTACCAAATGAGCGAAAATAAAGCGTTTTTTCGGTGTAGAGATGGCCGGTTTGAGCTCACATGATGAGCTTCAGCAGGCACGAGGTGACGTGCGAGCTGATCCTGGTACCCAAATCGTTCAATCTTCGGCTTCAAGACGTCAGAGCGACTGTTGATGTTTTCTCACGGCAGCACACGAGAGTGAAAGAAAGGGAGAAGAAAAGCACACGCTCACTGGGGCAGTGAGGGTCGTGAGAGGAGGCGATTCGTAGGGTTTCCCTGTGCAACTCTATTCTTCTCCAGTGGGCTCTGCCGCCCTCCGTCAACACAATAGAACGGCGCGTTCGGAAAGAACGTTTTTCAGTACTTGACAAAAAAGTGTGAGGACCATGCAAAAATAAACGATGATTTTCAAACAAAAAGTTAGAACTTGAAATTTTTACCGTAGATTCTACTAATTAAGACGATTACAATGGTATATGACTTGAGGTGTGGCCATTTTTTTAAGGGTTCCAAAATGGCGTTTGAAGTTTGTTAAAAATGCATTAAAATGTGTTAGGCAAGCAAGCACTGTGCAAGAAACAACGATAGAAGATGCCGGTAGGGGCGCTGTATTCGCCTGCGTAACACATTTCAATGCATTTTTAGCCAACTTCAGACGCCATTTTGAAACCCTTATAAAAATGGCCGCACCTCAAGTCATATACCATTGTGATCGTCGTAATTAGTAGAATCTACGGTAAAAGTTTCAAGTTCTAACTTTTTGTTTGAAAATCATCGTCTATTTTTGCATGGTCCTTTCGTTATCATTTGATCCATTCATTTGCAGATCACCTATTTACATAAAATTTTGAAAACATTTTTAAATAAAATGAAGGGTAGAGTTATCGGCGATCATGCTTTAACAGAGCGAAACATCTAGTGGCATTTCATTAGCAGTCTNGCACCTCAAGTCATATACCATTGTGATCGTCGTAATTAGTAGAATCTACGGTAAAAGTTTCAAGTTCTAACTTTTTGTTTGAAAATCATCGTCTATTTTTGCATGGTCCTTNTGGGCTGTGCCGCCCTCCGTCAACACAATAGAACGGCGCGTTCGGAAAGAACGTTTTTTTCAGTACTTGACAAAAAAGTGTAATTTTCGTTATCATTTGATCCATTCATTTGCAGATCAACTATTTACATAAAATTTTGAAAACATTTTTAAATAAAATGAAGGGTAGAGTTATCGGTGATCATGCTTTAACAGAGCGAAACATCTAGTGGCATTTCATTAGCAGTCTNCTGCCGCCCTCCGTCAACACAATAGAACGGCGCGTTCGGAAAGAACGTTTTTCAGTACTTGACAAAAAAGTGTGAGGACCATGCAAAAATAAACGATGATTTTCAAACAAAAAGTTAGAACTTGNTGTTGTTTTAAAAAAATCCACTTGTCGGCGCTTTTCTTCGTTTTGCGCCAATTTGAATTTCCTGCGAATCTTAAGAATATTTTTGTTAATTAGCTGACAGTCCTCAGTTGTCCATAGAACGAACATAGAACAAACTCAGATTAAATTATTGAGAATAAAAAGTAAAGCAAAGAAAAATGTGCCCAATTCTCGGCCTGTCAGATACTTGACCTGCTTGTGGTGGTTGCACCATCATCAAACCCGGAAAAGGGGAAACTGTGGCGGTTCTCTCTCTTTTTTAATCTACCATTGTATCCAGTCTGAAGATTCGAGATGCCTCACCAGTCGCCTACTCTCTCTCTCTCTCTCTCTCTCTCTCTCTCTCTCTCTCTCTTTGGTAATTCAATCAGACAGGGCAGCATCGTCTTCCTCCGCCGTTCACCTCGTCCCACTGGAAGTCAGTCAGTCACCGTCATTGTCATCACTTTCCATTATCGTCACCGACACACGGTAATTCACTGAAATGAATCGGTGTTCACTTCATCAGCCAGTGTTCTGATGATATCTCATTAGGTCAACATGCGTAGGGGTGGCGGGAAACGAGTTAAAGCAAAGCAGATTGTCAAGTCTGATAAACACTGAGAATGAGAAGACTCTCAGCACTCTCTGCCCCCACAACTCTTCAAACCCGAACACATGTTCCTGCAAAAACTGTGCACAAGTCTGTCCCCAAACTGACTGTAAAGTAGCGACCATGCTCTACTAATTGCTAATGCCGCTCTCCATCAGGCCAAATGGTTCTTCTATTGTCATCGTGGGGCAATGAATCAAGCGGCCAACTGACTGACTGCAGCATCATCTCAATCCTCTGATTCTCTTGCCATTTTGCCTGAAGATGGCTTCATTGTTATGTCAGTGCCCAGCAAGCATGTCTTTTATTACATTACACAGTGCGTTTAGCTTTTCCCGTAGGCTGAAACTTTTGAAGCGACTTGAAGCTGGTACAAGCTTGATTGCTTTAAAAAGCTCAACTTTATAAAACTGTTTGCTCTAGATTGCAAAAAATTAATTCTTTAACGATCCAGTAAACTCCAACTGGAGAAGATAATCTAGAAGATGAGTCACAAGTGTGTTGCGCAGTAATGTTCATATCTCACCTCGTTTGACCTTGTCTATTGCTGGCAATACTGAGCATTGCTTCAGGCATTCTCTTTCTCTCTCTCTTTTTCTTTCTCCGCCACCTTCCTGTCACCTCTGTGCACCTGTTGTTCCGTTGCAGCTCGAATAGCTGTTACTTGCCGTGATAATCTAAATGGCATCAGGCAATTAGCTGCCTGGACACTATAAGAAGGCAGTGCTGATAAAGGAGCAGAGTGCAGTGGCACGAGCCAGTGGACAATGCCTCCTCTCCTCAGTGCGCCCAGTGCAGCAACTGGGCAATTGTTCATTGCCATCACAATGTCTGTTGCTATAGGCCCTTAAATGGATCGATTGGTGGAACGACGAGTCATCATCGCATTGTCAGAAGAGGATGCTCTACTCCACAGTACAGTACTCGGCGAAATGAAGGGCTGAGGTTAATGCAACTTTCAGACAGTACAGTGAACCACCGTGGCGGTGACCTTTATGACAGAAGAAGTAGTTCCAGACTGAGTGTGAAGCATTCTGGTCGTGGTGGAAATGCATATTTCAGTCATTGCGAAATCCCTAACTTAATAATTGCCATCTCAGTGATCAGTTTTGAAAAACCTTACACTTGTCTTAATC